TCAGAGTTGCCTGGCGCGGAACTCAAACTTGTTTGGCTGCACGTCGGTCTTCAGTTCTCTCCGATCTTTTATACGAACAGCAGCTCTGCAAGAAACATGGCATCGTTCTTCAAAAAACATATGATTTATCCATCAAACGGCGTCCCCAAATCCATGGCTGATCTTCGCAGGTATGAGGGATTTTTTCCCAACATGAATGGAACAACGTATGATCCCATTTCGCTGATGGACGAGGAGAAGAATCGTGACCGCGAGGAGAGTAGGTTTTCTTCTGATTCCACAAGTGCTTCTCACGATGAAGACATCTTTTCCAGCACTCCGTTCACTTTTTCAAGGTAATTCTTGTTATCGTCATGACGCCTGTATTTCTCCAAAAGTATTGCTGGAATTGTCAAGTTTTGGCTGTAAAACCAGCTGTGTCGTAAAGAAAACATGTGTGTTTCAATACCCATGGGCAAAACTGAGCGGACTTCCACGAATTTGCGATGACCAACTCAAATTGTTTGAAATTTTTCCATCCAGTTGCTTTCCTTGCTTTCAAACAGTAAAGTTTATTTTCTTTTTGCAGCTACAAGATAAGAGATAAACATCCCGAAAAATCAATATAAGGTGGAAAGAGTGTTTTGCGCGAAGTTTTATTTCCCTCGAGAAAGACAAATTAGAACCATTGTGACAATTTGCATTTGAAAGAATACCTTTGAAACGGATCATTCTTTTTTTTCTGGTGACAATGAAGCGTAATTATCCCATCATATGTACAACGTGAAAAATATTCCACTTGTTTCACCTTGTCCAGATATTTTTCAGAAAAAATAGATACAAAAATGTTTGTTTATTTTGCTGCAAGTTAATTCAATTTGTTGTTGTCAATCAGTTTGATTGCAAGTTTAGCCTGACACGTTTCTTTTATCCATTTATTTTGTTGTCGTCATCATATCCTTTAATCTAAACCGTACTTTTGTACGTGTATATGATTTTTAATTTTGAACAAATGTATTTACTTTGTACCTTCAGCAGCGGTGATGACAGCACAGGATCGAGCCAAGCGTCCAATGATGTCTTCCATGAGGGCAAAATATTGTTGCTACAGACGCCGAAGAAGGAGCTAACGAAACGAGTGAGTCCTCGTAAACCTCTGAAGCCGATGAAAAGCGTTAATCACTGCGATCCAAGTTTCAAGGGCGTTACTTTCCACATGAAAACGAAGCTAAAGAAAGGAAAGCGCGGGCTGAAAACACGCTCGGAAGCGCAACTGGTGATCGATTGCTGCTTTACATCCAAGAAGAAGCGTCGCTGTTCAAACCTCGACTTCGAGAGTTGTAAGACGTCCAGACGAAGGCTTGCTTCACCCGGACTGAATCCGACTGTTTTTAAGCTTCAAAGTTCTCCAGAGTCGCTGTTCAACGATAGAAGCCCGAGTGATATGGATTTGGGGATGATGACGCCCATTCAAGTCGAGAAGGAGTGTGCGTCGTGTGGAACTTTTAAAACCCCTTTGTGGCGCGATGCGGAAGATGGCACTCATTTATGCAACGCTTGCGGAATCAGGTACAAAAAGTACAGGATCCGCTGCGTCCGTTGCTGGTATATCCCCAAGAAGGAGGAGAAAGCATTACCTTGTTGTACTAGTTGCGGTCATACTTACAAAATTTCCCTTGGTCGCAAAGGAACCCCATTTAGCAGTAGCGAGTAGGGTTGTTCCAACAAATCACGGACGGGAACTGTTGGTTTTATTCCGATGGCTGTGGCGCTTTTTGAATGCTCTACAAAGTACAAAATTCGTTCTGTCTTTACTTCAGGTGTTAAAAAGTGGAAGATACTGTGAGAGTATTGGTGAACTTTTATTGCCGGTTCTTAATTGAGGCTGAAAGTTTTGACAAATTTCTTAAGTCTCTCCTTTTTGCACTTTCCGCTTCTAAGAAATGGACGCTTGCATTTCTTTTAGAAAACAAGGAACGAATGATTAAAACCTTATACACTCAGAAATTACAAACTGCTCACGGTGATTTCAAAGAAAGAAGCATCAGAGTTTTGTTTATGTAATAAAATACGACTGATCTTTAATATCGACACTTCCTGTTTAGTTACCCATTTTGCAGTGATGTCATATTTGCAATGTAACGTTTCACACTTGACGCATATACCATTTTTACACGTTTCTAGTTTTTACACGGTCATGTTTTCCATTTTACCCGCGTTATCATTTTCACAATGCATAGTTTTGGGTTTTGTTGTCTGCGCTTGTCTATATCACCAGGGTTACAAAAAGCAAGGTTTTAAGTTTTCTTAGAAGTGCGTGAGTGTACTGTGTAGGCTTAGATGAAATATATAAGAGTACACTAATAAGGTTCAGTTAATGTCAAAATATTTATTGTCGTCTTTATTAAGGTTCACTTGTTTGTATAGGATATGCTGAAACAAGGTTGTTTTCCAGTGAAGTTTTCTCCCCAATTCCTCCAGTTTAGACTGTAGTCAGTTGAGAAGCATAAGGGCATTTGACAGCTAAATAGATGCTAGATCTTTAGAGGTATATATAAGGGAAATTAGCTGGCCCTAACTAAGGGATAACAACTTCAAAACACTATCAGGAGAAAAATCTATCAGGATTATTATTGTAGTATATTAACCCTAAGCATATGTACGAAAAACTGAGCCTTTGTGGTACAGAATTCTTGTTGCTATTTATCTCTTGTATATAGGGTTACTCTCTGGTCGGTACAAACTTATGTCTTGTAACGTAGTACTGATTGAGACCAGTATATTACAAGTTTCAAACTGGCTGTAAGTGGTTTTCGTTAAGTTATTTTCTTGTTGTGTATATTGTATATATATACGTAGATCTTTAAAGCCAGTTTCTCCAGCGTTGCAAAGCTTTACACGAACGAAAAGTTAGTTTCAAACCACATGTTGTAAATAGGATATATGTATCAAGCTACTGTACCTAGTTACTTAAAGCTGAAAGATGGTAGTGTTAATAAAATCATTGGATGCTAAAACTCTTCTCAGTAAAGTAATATTATTTGCCAATTATACTGTCTAAAGAAAACAGTTGAACAACAGTGCGAAACCAAGCCAGCGGTGGAGAGCAGGGCGGACCTGGTGGAGAGCGATGAGAACAAGCGCGGCGCGGGAAACAAGCCAGTTCGCGCCTTTCCGATTACGAAGGCGTAATACTATATGGGATTGACGTATTAAAACCGATGCAACTGAATCTGCGTTGGGTCTTTTTTTTTTGTTTTGGAAACAACGTAAAATGATGAAATCCAGGGGGTTTAAGGAAAACTGAACTCTGATGAATCTCTTAGAAGCGTAAGACAAGCAAAATAAATTCGAACAAAGGTTAATATTTGTTCGAATTTATTTTGCTTGTTTTCACGCTTCAAAGAGCGCAGATTCCTTGTGGTTGCAGTCTTCGGTGCTTTATTTAACAGCTTTTCTGGACAAACGCCTGCCCAGATCTAGAGGGAATGTGCACGAACGGGATTCAGGTCCCATCCGAGGTGCCATCCCTACCCAGTCCCACAACCCGTAAAGGTCTACGACCCCTACTCTTTTCGAATAGTGATGTGGGTTCTTTTACGTCCTATTCAGTCTTTTCTTTAAGGGAAATACTCAATTTTGTTTCCAACAAATGCAATTTTAAAATTGGACGATCGCACAGAAGTAGTTCGATTTGAAATCACAAGTATGATTTCAGACCAAAATTGCACGACACAAAGTTCAATTGCTACTATATTACAGCCATTTTGGCATCGCAAAATTCAGTCAGTGCCAATATTTTATTGATCGGTCGTCGGCTTGTTGAAGTGGAATCGGAAACGTTTTAACATCTCATTTTGTATGCGAAAACAGAAATTTTGCGATTTAGAGAAAAGATGATGCGATTTAGAATAGAAATGATGCAATTTAAAACAAGAATGACGCGATTTACAACAGATGTGATTTAAAGCAAACAAAAAAATGTGATTTGTCATGATAAATCATGCTACAGAGAGCCAATCAGATTGCAAGGATCACTAGTGTTTTCAAAATGGGAGTAATCGCGTGGACTCCATGCTGATTATCGTTAACCCTTTCACTGCCAGAGTGTTTGTTTGTGCAATGATGACGGGTATCGTGAAGTATAGATAGGAACTGTAAATAGCCATGCCCGCCCCCGCTCCCTCACTTGACGAACGGAGCTCATCCCAGTTTCTGTGGCAAGGAGCACCTAGGAGTATTGCTACTCCTCCCCAGAAGGGATGTTAGTCCATCGCGGGGATGTACTGAATTTGAGCGTTTTGATATGACATCTTGGCGGCCATATTGGTGTTCCAAAACAATGAAATATAATAATAGATACTCAATTATCCTCTCCACTTATGGGGCTTTTCAGGGATAATGGACAAATAATTAATAATTAATTAACAAATCTTCAAGTAAACGCTTTCTTTTCTTACAATAAAGAAAGATGCTTGCCACTTGAGTGAAAACGCGGTAAAGAGAAACAAAGCCAAGCAACATCACGACGGCAAAGCTTGAACCGTACCGCCAGATACGAAATTCAAGCTGTTAACCCGCGGCTACCATGCCTCCACTGAACCTCGATATAACGAAGGGCCAAGGGACTGGCAAAATGTGTTCGCTATTACGAGGTTTCGCTATATCGAGGTTCTTTTCCATATACTTTACTATTAGAGGGGTAAAGAAAAATCGTTCGTTACACCAAGGAATTCGTTATATCGAGGTTCCACTGTAGATGGGGTAAGGGAATTTGGTGTCATGGACCCACGAGGGACACAACTGGGAACAGCAAGGTTTTAAATTTCGCGTGTCCTATATTCGTGTTTCGCTTTCTTAAGTCTTGGGATCACGGAAATCAAGTTTTGCAAAAATAACCAACAGTAAGGTAGAATAAATGGTTAAACGTCGGGTTAAGGGTCAGTCCAAGTCATCGGTTGTGGACCTTTCCACAGCAGGTTGAGTCAAAACAAAATAAAACTAAGCACTTGTAAAGTTTTCTTCAGTATTTTAATTTTTGTGGTCGCAACTACACTTAAAATCGTACAGAATTTTACATTGTATGTACACAAATTATAAAACTGCCAAAGATGCTGACATATCACGAGCGTCAGGCATATGTTCAATCTGTTCTTCAACTTCTCTCGTCATAATTAGTAAGGATGTCAACAATAACTTAGCCTTAAATACCTTAAATACGTGAGAACAATACAAAATTTCGATACCCATTTTTAGTTGACGAGTATTGCAAAATATTTATTGTATGGCCAATGTTTGTAGCATGTTGTTAGTAATGGGCCAGTTGTGAGGGCTGGTGTAGTTCTCGGGTCGTGAAACGACGCCCGCCGATTCTGAAGCTAAAACAAGTTGGTTTTCTCCACTTTCCGAGTTAGATGGGTAAGGCAAGATCGGTTTCTTCATTCCTATTACTGATAGAAGCTGCAGTTCCAGCGGCCCAAGACGAGGGGAGTCCTTAAACAGAATAAATCAATAACGCTTATATTAGCAAGATTCTGTGCTACTTAAAGATTAGCCTGCGCCAGGCTCTAGGATAGTAGCTAGGAGCGTCGCGAAAATAAAACGAGCCAAGCAAAAATAAGACGCGCGTGATCTGGAGAAGGGAGTGGTGGCGGCAAAAAATTCTGCATAGAGCCTGGAACAGGCTACTTGAAAACTTGCACAGCGTTTGCGTCAGTGACCTGCGACCTTTTTCTCGAAAGTCCCGATAATTGCCAAGGCGCAATGAGCTGTTATGTTTCATAGTACAGTCAAACCCTGTGAATACGGAGATTTGGGGTAGGGAAGTGGGGGGGGGGGGGGGAGGGGTCTTTTTTAAGGGGGTGTCCGTTTGAAGGGGCTGGAATTTACAAAAAATTAAGGGGTTTTTTTTCCCCGGGGCAAAACAAAACTACCCGGGAAAAGGGGGTGCCCGAAAAGGGGGGTTGGACTAAAAAGTTTGACCCAAGAGACGGGCATGGGGGGGGGGGGGGGGGTATAGAAAGTGTCTGTATTAACGGGTTGTCCGTATTAAGCGGGTTGAAATTTAGAGAAAATGTAATGGCTTTTGGTCCCCACAGACAAAGCAAACTGTCTGTAATAATGAAGTGTCCGTAAAGTGGAGTTAGACTAAATAGTTTGAGCCAAGAGTCGGGTCATAAGTGGGTTGAATATGATCGTCCGGGCGAGTGAGTCCTGATCAGGAGGACTGTTGTCAGGTTGACAACAGTTTGTGCAGTAGTCATCTTTAGAGTCAAAGACAGTGTTATGAGAGAGAAATCACTCAGAAATAATTGACTTCGAAAGGTTTTACATCTTGACATATACACTTTCACTCTTAAAGAAACTGATGGAATTTTAGAAGGTGGTTTTAACTTTTGCGTCTCTGGATGTAATCCTATGGAGTTGCCATTCACATGAATTCTATTAAGCAGTACTATGACGTAGTAATATTTGTTTCTCAGCACTGTAACAATTAAAATTTCGAAAATTTTATCGAACTTTTACTTTGGCTATTTCTGGGAGTAAAAGGGTAAAAACATGAATTTATATTTTTTTTCGTGTCGTTCAAAGGCCAGTGTGCATCAGCGAGAATATCTCCATAATTCCAGTTTAGTTTACGCGAAAATTTGGAGTTTTTTGTGATACCTCCTCCCTTAAACGAGAAAAATTTGTAAGAATTAAAGCTCTCAAAGCTATACTGTTCAAAGAAGAAAACGGTGAAAACCCGTGAGTAAGAACCTGCGTTTTCCCAACTTAACCTAAACAGGTCCTTACATAGATGGTAATAGGCACAAATTTAGGCTATTTAGGTTCTTAAATAGGTTCTTATTTTCTGAAGAAAAAATACATTGAAGCTAAGAGCATTTGGTGGTATTCAGTTCATTCCAGATTTCCTTATATAAAATCTGAATACCGTTACGTTGCAGTTGGAGTGAAAAGTCTCGATAGAGGATCCTGAATGTTAACTTCTCTTATTTGCCCGATTGATTTTCTTATAGATTTTAAACCGAGGTTCTTGCATACTATAACTGGCATCTTTTAGCTCAACAGGGCCCAGTTGTTCGAAGGCTGATTAGCGCTTAACCCGCGGGGTTAAATTTAACCAGGGTTTCTTTTTCTTGTGTTCAAAAGCATTTTCTCGGATAATTTTCTCCGTTATTTTTAGAGCTTCCAATCATCAACTTGTAGACGAAAATAATTAAAACTAAAGTGCTTTTTAAGCTTTCAAATCTGAATTCAAATCTCGCTCTTACCCTGGGTTATCTTAACCCAGCTTTGAACAACTCAGCCCAGGTTATTAAAACCAGGTTCTTACTCTTGGGTTTTTACTGTACTTCACAAAATCGCTGTTGATTAACGAACTTTTCGGAACTGATTTTGCTAAACTAGTTCTAAGTTAGTTACGGACCTCAAAGTCATCCTCTCCAGGAAGAAAGTAATTATCCAACAAATCATCTGGTTTTTCATCTTGTTCTGTTATGACCCCGTGGGACGCAAACACCTCTTCCGTTTCACTGTCTTCATCTGAACTTTCCTCGTCATCAACACAGCTTAAATAAAACTTTCTGAAAAGACACACAGACAGTTTAAATGAAGTGATATCTGGGTGAAACGTATTTAACACTTCATGAAATTTTTGAAACTTGCGTTAATTTAAGTCGCGTTTGTTGTAAACGTTAATTAAATACCACTGGGTGGAGATCCACCACTATCAGTGAAACTGTGAAGATCCATCGGAAAGGTACCACGAAAAAAAGTTTCCATTTCGGATTAAACGTTTAACTTCGGTTCCTGTTTTCTAAATAAGTTCTGTTTCTTTTTGAAAGTCACGTTAATTTTCTTCATTGTGAAATGTTACCCTCCCGTGATTTTTTTTACAAATAGTTATGGTGAGTCCTGGGACTCATCTTGTGAAAAATCATGAGTCCCAGTCCACAACCATTGAATCCCAGTTCAAAAAACAACGAGTCCCTGGGTCTTTTGTAACCACACAGTTAGTCTGAAGACAGAATCCAAAACTCTGTATTACAGTTTACTGAAATAAAAATATACTCCTTCTATTGTAAATTACAACAAAGACAAAAAGAAATAAGCGTCGTTTCACAAAAGCCACAGAAATCAAACAAACAGGATACTCTACAAAACCATCTTCAGATCGATCAATCGATCTTTGCGTCCCAGGGGACACATTCCACTATTTATTTTACGTCTTTGGGGACTTTTATGCGACAGGGACGCAGGACGCAGAGGTAACAAAATCATTGACCCTGTCTTTTGCGTACGTTAATTTCCTTTATTCGGAATTCTTTTCTCGTTAAATTCGCGTTGATATATAAAAAAATTCCGATACCTTAATTTCACGGAGCGTTGATTTTCTAAAATAAGGTACTACAAAGGGTTGATGAAATATTTGGAATCAGAATCAAACTGGACACAGTGTAGGTTAAAACCATTTTAACCTGAGCTGATTTTGAACTAATGCACACTGATATAGTCACTAGCCATATAGATTTGGATTCAGTTTCAAATGTTCTGTAAATGTCATAGCTGTATAGTTTCTATTGTTTACTTTCACGCTGTTATTGCGTTCGACGCTCATAGCTATCATGAATGCTCTAATACAAAGACTCACGTACCTTGTAAACTTGAGATCTTCCACTTTACAGTCAAACATTTCACTCATAATTTCCAAGTTTCGTCTCTCCAGTTCTTCTACTATTTCTGAAAGTTCCTCATGACCTTTTCGATGAATGGAAACCTAAAAGAAAATGATTCTATTATTCAATTATTTAAAGGCCAGTTTTTATGCTAACAGAGGGATAAAGCTTAATCCATCTTCAGGCCATGCCTCTTACCCTGACTGTTCAAAAGCATCTCATTGTTAATTGCTTCATATACGTAGTCATTTTAAAGCATCCAAACATGAAATCCCCTGCTAGTGGAGGTTTCTTTCCGGTGTGTTTTTTACCGTGTACAAGAGAAACTCGTACATCACGAAATCGTAAAGCGGCCTGAACGATTTCGTGCATGCCAAAACCAAGCTGAAGAAAAATAAACTCTGCTAGCAAGACAAACACTAATGAAATGTGGGCCAAATTAGAATTTACAACAATTGACCTTGTAAACGTTCAGTTCAGCCTGTTCACAGACCCTCTATTTTCTCTGTAGAGATAGTCAAGTGCAGGTATGAAAATAGAAAGCGCAGGGGCTTAATTGCCCGCTACACAATGCAGTTCGTTCTCGCGCGCTCGCCGTTGATTAGAAAACAAAGTCTGTGTACAGGCAACGTTCAGTTTTGAATTTAAATTTTGTGCCAACGCTGTGTTTTCAGTTCCGGGCGGCAGTTAGATGTACCTCTTTTTTCAGCCACCTGTTGTCTAAAATTTCTCCACAGCTATCTTTATCCAAGTTGTTTGTTGCTTTCTGAAAAAAGAAGAAAATGCCTATCGTGTTGTTATTTTTACTGACCCCCCCGGGGAGACTCCCTAAAAAAGGGATGCCTTTTAACAAGCCTCAGGTATATGAAAGGATACGGATTTGAAAAAGTTATGGCTGTGAAAAAGTCGAGAAAATTTCCTGGTTTGGGACTAATTTCATATTTTAAGAGTGCATTTTGTAGCAGTTAAAAGCGATGCAATGTTCTAAACTAGGTGTGTCAAAGGGGTACCATCGGTCAAAAATGAGGGTATATAAAATGGTAAGGGGTTGGTTTAAAAGACTGTAGTGCATGTAACTTTGATACAAGGATGGAAAGAACAATCAAACAAGCAGCCAAATGGTTTAGTATTATGTAAACTCACAGCACATTGACAATACAATTATGACAGACAAGTTCTAAAATCAGGTACCTCATTTGCAATGTCCTTCTGCTTAGATATTGTGGATTCAGTGTAAGTTTCAATTTCATCTTTTGCAATTTTCAAGCTCCTTTCTAAATGAGCTGTGAACAAATAGAAGAAACATTTTGGCGACCAAAGTCATTTTATTTAATTACTGGTTAATTTTCTTGAAGCTAAAAGTTTTCTTGGAGACTGAGGAAAGTCGATAAGCTGCTCATGATCCTCACCTGCAATATCATCATGTGAATCCTGCATTTCTTTCAAATCTTGTTTTAGTAAAACTATTTGTTTGGCATGTTCCTCAGCACCTTTGTCCTGAAGGTTAAAAGAAAGAAGAAGTAGCTAAAAGCCTATATTGTACTTGTAGCTGTATTCTTAAGATGAGCCCAAGGCTCGAAATAATTTCAGGAGAGTCTCTGGACATGATGAGCAGCCAAATTAATTTTAGCTCAGTCACATATTGTTTCTGGCAGGTCAAATTTATAAGATAAATAGCTCTTAAATCATGTGCCCAGCAACCATAACTGGCGTTATATATTTCCAACACAGTCGTTGCTTAGAGCTTATAGCTTAAAGCACTCGTTGTCAACAATATAATTAAATTACAGTGGCAAAATGAAAATAAGCTTATATGTTTCAATGTGCTAATTGTAAACAACAGTTCCAGTTTCACATAATACACAGGGACTCACTACATACATGTACTGGTAACAACTGAAACCACTGAACAGTATGGAAATTTTAATTAAGGTCATTTTCAAAACTATCGCATGTGACCGGTCAACATGACTGGCAAGACGAAAGGTTGACCGGTCAACTCCTCAATCCGTCCGAACATTGTCCGCTGACCGACCGTTCTTTCATGCCCTGGAGCAATATATGAGGCGGAATAGCTTTTCAGTGGTTAAGAGTGTCTGCGATGCAGGCTAAGCTTTTTCAAAGTGTAAAAGATGCACAAAAGAGAGATTGAAATCCAAGGGTTTGGAGAAGGTGCAATTAACAGTAGGGGTGGTACAAGGTTCCTGGCCCAATGATGAGCTAATTCAACACTTATTGCAAAACCTAACCACATTCCATAACTTGTAATGCTCCCAGGTACAAAGGGATTGAATGCTAGCAAAAACTTAAAATCATCACATGTGTCCACTATTTTTAACTAATCATTTAAGCATAGAACTGGTATGGCATGCCGATGTAATCATTGATTATAATCATGTTACTTTTAAAACAATAAGTCAGTAAACATATTATTGTACCCTATAGTCTTCAAGCCTTTTTATATTCTTCCTCACATCTGCTATTTCTTCCTCTTTCTTGTCAATTTGATCATTAAGCACTAAATACAAAAGCAATAATTTCAGAACTGTGTATTAAAGTAAAAAATCATGATTTCATTACTTTATGTGTCCGCGATAATTAAAGGAAAGCCTTATGGTTTGTAATTTAATTTCTAAAATTACTAACAAACTAACAGAAATTTGCCAGTTGTTGGTTTAATTTGTCATTTTTATTTAGCATCTAATTTTCCTGATGGTTGTAAAGTGATACAACCATGTAAGAGTCACACCAGAACCAAAGAGTTAAGGATGGTTAACACCTAAGAAACTACCCCATTTTCAGAAAAATGTCTCCATTTAAAAAACTGTACATGGTTGTAACAAATACAGTAAACACCCGCAAATAAGAGACTTTTTTTTTTGAGGTTTGGCAAAATAGGTTCTTGTATTTTGGGATACTCATTGGCAATTTAGGCTGTAAGTAGGTTCTCAATTCAGTTCTTAATTTCTATACATAGTTATTGACTGCCAGAACAATTATTTTACAAAGAAGCTTGAAGTTGGTCCTTAAATATACAATTTTTATTCTCAACCACGTAAACTTATAATTTTGTATGAAAGCATGTCACTTTGGTCAAAGACTTCTTTTGGTAAATTAAATGACCATTGTGTCCGTGCTAAGGAAGCTCATTGTGGAGAAAAAATATGCCTGTAATAATCTCAGCAAAAAAAGTGTCCATTAAGTAAGCTTAATTGTACATGCACCTTGAACGTCTGCTTCTTCTGTCTTCATTGCATCAAATTTCTCCAGGAGTGCTGCTTCCACTTGCTCATGTCCAACCTCCACTGCTTTCTCCACTTCTTTGTCTTTCTCTTTCACTTGTTTTAAGAGAGATTTGATATGTAGAAGTTGCTCTTCTTTCAGTCTTTGATTCTGTAAATTAATCACAAAACATAATTAAAATTTGAATTATATGTTCTTTGTACATTTATTATCTATTAAAAATTAACAGAGATCAGAAAATAATGTACCCATATCTGGTAGTCTTGCACAGGTAAAAAAGTTACTACAGTAGAACACCAGTAACTCCAACTTCTATGCTAACTTGAACTAAGCCCCATTTCCCCACTTTTCAGACAGAAAAATGAATTGTTAAATAGAAGTTGTTGTTGTCTATGTTCATAACACTATCTTGCAACTCAGATAAGTAGGGGTCATGACTGTGTGCTAGTTTGTTTCTGTTAAATTAATATATTAAGACTTACTTAGTAATGGATAAAAAGAACCAGAAATGCATTATATGATTATCCGTGTGGAATTTGTTCACTTAAAAAGTAAGGGAGGGGGAGGTGCAGAACCTCCTGTTACCACAACTCTTACCCTGTCTTTGAGTCTTCCATTCTTCTCTTGGAGAGACTGCATGTCATACATAAGATCCTCAAAGTTCCTTTGTTTCACCTCTATCCTATAATTATTGAATTAATACATGTATTTGTTAACTCTTGTTGAATATTCTGCATATCCCAACCATAACAAATATGGCAGCAGCACTACAACGTAACATGAAAGACTGAAACATGAAGGACAGGGTTAACAGAAGAAGCCAGCCACCAAGGGAATTTCACTGGCTGTAAACACTAACTAAAGGTAGTTATCTGTTCAGACTATAAAACTTCTCTTGCAGTCATGGGCTGCAAAAAATAAAATAAACTACCTGTGTGATGTCAGAAAAAATTGGGTATTCACTACTCAATTAGCTTTGTGACAAAATGGATTTTGTGCAAATACATCTGCTTGTGACAGATAAACCACAAAGTGTCAAAATAACTGTCAAAGACTTAAATGTTGTGTGATGTTGCATGTGTAACCTTGGCATCTATTAAATTCCCTCGCTTTAAATGCCCCCCAAATTAAATAGACACCCTGGGCATCTATTAGATCATTTACAGTATATGAAGGGACCGAGCAAAATCTACCATTAAAGTATTTAAAGAGGTCTTTAATTATCAATTTGCTTTGAAAGGAACACAAGGAAGTGAAGAAGACTTCCTCAATGTTATCGATTTATTTGTAATAGAAGACCTGTATATTAAAAGGGTACCTTTTTATCAGTGAATGGTATACGAAGTGGGTACTTTTTCTGTCAAAAATGGTATACCGTAAAATAAGCCATGGCTCTTTTTGAGGGGCTTATTTCTGGAGGGGCTTATATCCGGAGGGGCTTATCTACAGATATGAGAGGGAAATTTGTGTTTCAAAATAAGTTAGGCTAGCCCTATAGCTGGAAGTAAATTTACTGCTTTTGCTTTGTTACTTCGGCGGAGCGCGAAGTAAAGGATTCGCGACGATCAGGAATGTATCAAAGTTGCAATTTTTTGACAAGATTGGGCAAACAAAGTCTGTAGGTTTTCGGCTCTATTTGGCTATTTGACGAAGTGAGAGCCGAATTAGTTCGAGATATCTCGAGATCACTTCGATTTCTTTGATTTATCCTTTAACTTTTTCGAGGAAGAAAGAAATACTATTTTGGCCTTCCGGGGATTTGAACCGACTCACCTGCGTGACCCGTCAGATCAGAGGAGACTCTAAGTTGAGGGATTAGCCGATTGCGCTACTGCGACCCAAGGTAGTTTGGGATATGAAAAATAGTTATGAAATGATGCACTAGTTTCGGGACAAGATTGGGCGTGCAAGTTCACGACTTTTCGGCTTCAACTATTTCACGAAATGAGATCGGACTACTTCGTGATATCTTGAGATCACTTCGAGTTTAGTCTTTAATTACTCGAGGAATAAATAGAGGATATTTCGTGGCCGCGCAGAGACACGAAATTTCTCTTTGAGTGTTGAAAAACATTTCACGAGTGAGCCCTCCTTTCGAACTGTTTTATGATGAATTTAAAGTTACAAAATGCTGCACAAAGACATTTTGTCTTTGTTGAGTGTTACGTAGTAAAATTGCTTTCATGCATTGCGTGACTTTCTCACACGTTCTCTATGTTTTTGGATTAGCCATGAATAATTAATTAGGGCATGTTTACATTTCAGCATGAGTCAGCAGATTTGCATCAGTTACTGAAATCACGAAATGTGTCGAAACGCTACTACTATTCGCCTGTTTAGTATTTTCTAGAACCTTATGTCAAACGGTATACAAGTTCCAAGCGAGTTCTTTTGACGCACTAAGTTTTTTCCCACGAGCTGGACTGCTGTGTTTAGTCAAGTGTGACGAAGGTCGATTTTCAGGTTCTGTGTTTACAAGTTCGCGGAAGCCGTAAGATATCTGAAGTTCAAGTGAGAGTTTGTTATTATTGGTAGAGGCTGTTTAGTTTTACTCAAAGTTCAAGTCAAGTTTGTGTTGGCGGATGCTGTGTTTTAAAGCTCTCTAAAGACTATGTTCCTTTGGTGTTAAACTTCCTTGTGTTAATCCGACATCCCTGCGTGCTGATAGTCAGTGAATAATTATCCTCAAACCATTCGAACTCGTGACTTTGAGTTTTAGCCAATTCCATGCTCAACGTAATTGACTCCTTACCCATGCCTTACATATCTTTAATCAGTACATGAGACTGCTATGCTGTTTTTGAAGCCTGATGTGACTAAGAAAAATAGAGAATTGTTTTTAGAAGGATTTGTATGAAGTCATCAGAGCATAACAGGGCTAATATCGCGGAGAAATGCTAGTTTTTGGCAAGTAGGCCTCTTGGATGTTGCTCTTTTCAGAATATCCTGACAAATCCCATAATTTCACACCTTACTCTCACCATATTTGATTTCTTACTATTCCTATGTATTTACAATTACTAGTTCTACAACCACGACGCCGAAGTGTACGCTAGCTCTGTAGCGTCTTGTTTTACTTTGTATTTGAGGGCACCTTTCTGAGTACAAGCCACCAGGGAGCTTATATTTGGAGGGGTGATTTAACAGAGGGTTTTTTGTGTTACCAGTTTGGGGGGCTTATATTTGGAGGGGCTTATACATGGAGGGACTTACAGTATTTTCGGAATTTTACGGTATGAAAGGGTAAGGGGTTGGACTCCTGGGTGGAGCCTCCCAGTATAAAATTTTCTTGAGCCCTTCCCCCTCATCAGCTTTTTAAAGCCATCAATGGGTCGCGCGTCTATATCTACCGAGAACCCCGTACATGTAAATCGCATCAGCTATACAGAAACTATTTATATCACAAGAATGTTACAGTATAAAATGTTATTAAAGTGCCAAAATTTACAAAAAGTTTTAAAATAATGAATATTTAATTGGAACTCGGCGGGAACAGAGCGTGCGTTGCTAAGAGATCCAATAAACTACTAACACAAGGACAAATTAATTATTTCTTAAAATGTACGGTTTTCTAAAAAATCTCCACGGAAATATGAACAATCAACAAGGCTCTTAAGAAGTAAAAGCGTGATAACAGAACCTGACACAAGAATAAGAAAAACACTCACTGAAAAGCCACGATGGCTTCCTCCACCGTTAACTTCGGCTCCTTGGACGCGCCACTTTTCTTCCCTTTCTTCTTCTTGCTGGAACCTTTTTTCTTTCCAGACTTCTTCTTAGGAGGCATAACGTACGTCTAAGCACCAGTAAAAGTAAAGAAATTCGTTTACGTCACTGTTAATTCGAGCATTTTCGAGGCCGGGGCAATTGGCATCTTCAAAGATGTTTACAGCGCTTATGTTAGCCTCGTTTACAAGCTCGTCAGAACGAGGCTGACTGGCGGGGTTTGGAGACCACGAGAGGAGGCTACTGGGATAACTTTAAGCGGACATATTGATTTGCTGGAGGTAGTGGGGAAATGATGGCCACGTCCACAGAAACTGGTGACAGGCAAGACACAAAACGGCTTGAGGCAAAGAAACAGACATTGGATGATGCTTATGCAGCTCCTGCCAATTTTCTAGAGATCGATGTTGTCAATCCGGAGACACACGGTGTTGGGAAAAAGCGATACACGGACTATGAAGTCCGCATGAGGGTTGGTACACTTTAGTACAAATGCATTTTGTTAGGCGATTAACGGATTTTATTACTCTAACCACGTTTACGTACAAAATTTCGTCGAAATCGGTTTTTTTAAGATTGTTTTCCGGAAATCAGGTCTGGCGATTTTCTGATAATTATTAATTAAGAGCCAGTACATGAAAGTTTGAATTGATTTCCTGGAACCTGAATGATTGTTAATTTGGCCCGAAGTAACGACAATAATTTGGTTAAAACGTGGGAAACCTTTGGGGACCAAGTTTATTTGTGTGCAGTAAATTTTTGTTCGTTTGTATGTAGCAATAATTGAATTGGTGTCATATAATATCCTTTATAAGATAACTAAGATACTACGCGGGCTTTGATTGGCCGAGAGGAGTGTTTGCATGAGATTATGTAAAAATGGTTGTGGCGACAAGATGTTTTGCTTTTCGCGCGCTAATCACACAAGCACAAATTTGAAAAAGTTTTCGAGTTCAAAACTCGACAAGTTTGCTTTATTTACCAATTCTTCCGTCGGCTGAAACTTGGAAAATCGTTACAAAGAAGGTGTGTCAATTTATTTTTCGCTTAAGCTGACAGTTAAAGCAAGAAAAATCCGTATTTTGAGTAGCATCTTTTTGCAAAACAAGAACTGATCACGCGTGCAAGGCGTCGTGTACAAGACTTTGCGACTGGTAAGAATTTCTCTTTCAATCAGTGCCATAACAAAGAGTTTTGTGTTTTTTCTCGGGAAAGTTATCCTATAAAAGCAATAGAAAACTTTTTTTCTGTGTTTGCATAGCCTGATATAAACACTTGAGGGGTTGGGAGAATTCTTGACAGTTATGCAAACCCTTGACTTCGTCTCGGGTTTGCATAACTGTCTCGAATTCTCCCAACCCCTCTCGTGTTTATATCAGGCTATGCAAACACGGAAAACGTTTTCTATTGCTTAAATTTTAGTATTTACCAAATCAGTGAATGGCACTTTTTGCGCGTTTTGATTGGCTCCTGTTACTCAAAATATCCTTGGCTATTCACTGTTTTGCGACCGGAGCCAAGATGGCATCTCTTTTCGAGACATTTTCGGAAGACGAAATTTGAGCGATAAATGAAGCATTTGACAACCAATACCAAGAAAGCGAGGAACTTTTGCTCGTCAGCATTTACTGGTAGGCACAGAAAATCATCTTCATGTTAAAATTGCAACAAAATCATAAAAATGCACTTCGCAAAATCACCAAAATGTTTGTAAATTGTAAACAAAGTTTCTACTAAGTGATGTTTTTACTTTACAAAAGGTTACTTTTTTCATTTTAATCCAACTGATTTGGTAAATACTAAAACAACTATCCCCCTAAGGGTCGGTGAACAGCACTAGATATATACCTCGATGCTTTGTATCTTGGTATATATCCCCACCACTATTCACCTCCCTGTCGGGGAACAGTTGTATAATATTGGAAAAAGAGAGAGAAGTGTGCTATCACATTACTGTTGTAGCAAAATTTCTGGATCACAATAATAGGAGCTTAAGCGTGAACGATGACAGCAATGGCAACAAAAACAGCAAAAAAGCAATAGGTTTACATTATCAAACAACTTTGCACTTGCATCACGCTATTTTGTACATTTCTTAGCTATCATTGCACGACAGCAACATGAAACTTCCTAATTTCTGGCACCCGCTTTATGAAAAGGTTAAACACAACACAAAAATATTATTTTACTTTTTCTAAACTTAGATACAGTCCTTTCAGATTCAACCCCAGAAAATTTCACCAACATTAATCGACAAATTAAATGAAACTGAATAAGATCGATGAAGTTTGAGACAGTGGGACTTTTTTTATGTCTTTGGTTTGTTGTCATCCATAAATTTTGCTACCATGGCAACCCGACTTGATTTTGACCACTACTTTTATAATAGTGGTTAGCAGTCTAGTGCATTGTTGGCCCTTTCCCTGAGCTCTGCCAGGTACGTGGGCTGGACGTTGAAGTAGAGACTACTGGGAATTTTTGGTCTTTTTTAGTCCACCTAGTGGCCAGAGTGAGGATTTGAGCCAGGTTACCACATAAAAATGAAGAACCCTGAAATGAATATATTGCTCGTCATGATCACTTCATAAACACACTTTTGCCTAAAGGCTTGATATTTTTCCTTTTACAATGTTCTGTCTTGCTTTGTATCCTTAATTTTTTTCAGACAAATCTTCCTGTGTTTAAAGTAAAAGAGTCATCGGTAAGAAGACGGTACAGTGACTTTAAGTGGCTAAGGAATGAGTTAGAAAGAGACAGCAAGGTAACTAAATAAACTGTTTTAACATTCTCACATTATCACTACTAACTATACTATATAAAACTACTGGTAGTGACCTAATGCTGGACTAATAAGCAACCCAACATGTACCTTATCTAGATAAGGAAGAGGAAATCTTAGCCATCTTAGATTGACTTTTGCTGCAATTTTACAACTGAAGTTGCCCAAATTTTTTCTTCTTACCATTGTGACCAAAGTGGTCACAGCTTGGAGCACTGTGGTGTAAACCTTTCCAAGAGTCCAGCCTAACTCAGGCAAGGTAATAAGTCACATACAGTGTAGGTGATGAGCTTCAGAAAGAGAAGATCTTAGCACAGGTCCAGAAGAGATGGAAGATCAGTTAAGATTCTGGGAATTGTCAACCCACCCCTCCCCTAACCCACCATTTTGCCCCAAGTAAGCATTTAGTATTAATGTCAGGTTAGGGGAGGGATGAGGGGGAGGGATGTAGTTTCCCACAATCTTTAATATTGATCTGCCACCTGTTTTGGACCTGTAAACACTAAGATCCTCTCTATTTGAGGCTCATCTTTCGCCGTCCTTTTTCCCAAACCTACTGACGGCCTCTGGGTCTCCTAGGATGATTAAACATATGACCTGTTGCCTTACTTGAGTCTGGACTCTCAACAAATAATGTTTTTTTACTAGCCGTCTTTTAGTCACTGCAGTTACTACGTTTGGATTTTTAAAATGTAGTGTTGGAGTTTAAGCTACAGAAGAAGTGGTTTTCTGAATCGCCTAAGACATTTTTGGTGATATCAAAATCCAAAGCAGATCTTGAGCTCCCGAAAAATTGGTGTCAAATGATTCATATTCTGTTAATTCTAAACTTCATCGTAAATGTAACACTGTCGTTAATAAGGACACCAAAGGGTCATACCAAGGTGACTGTATTACCAGAATGTGGGCTCTCAGAAAATATCAGCTGCAGACACCATGCTTATTGATATATTTGGGACATACAGTAACTGAACAGAGCTATGTTTGACCATAAAAAAGAGTATTCCTGCGCAATTATAGGCCCTTTGCTTGCATGTAAGTTCATCTTCTAATGGTTATTCAGGCACCATAAAAACATATTTTCACCTATAAAGTTATCTGTCAATCATCCTTCTAACATTGTTTTGCTGATCTTAGTGCTATCAAAGTGAGATGAAAAATTAAAAAAAAATTGCTTGCCCTTTGGGAAAGGATTTGTTCTGTAACCTCCCCTCCTTGAGGAAATTCCAATGAAGCTTCACAGACGCTTGAACTGTTTTGAGTCCAATTTCTTCTCCAGGGAGAGCATGGATATTTTTGGAACTCATTTTCCTTCATCCCCTACTTGTAGCATCACAAATTTAGTGTCAACCATGCCCATTTGTAATTTTTGCAGATTGTGGTTCCTCCGCTTCCAGGCGATGCACTTAAGAAGCAGTTACCATTTAGAGGAGATGATGGTAGGTGCAGACAGCTCAAACATGACACCGAATACCTTTCTAATAAAAGGTCTGCATGTCATACAATGACATGTCTCAATGGCCCACGTTCAATATGTTAAAATTCTAACATGACTCTGAGGCTTTAGGGACAAAATGGCAAATGTTTCACGACTCCATTGTCTCGCAATTCCCAGAAGAGACTTGAGCACAAAGAAAACCAAACTAAATATAGAAATATGACCAGAAAGCTTAGCTTGGGGTCATGTTAGAATTTTAGTGTATCAAACGTGGACTGTTCAGATTGTGATCTGTTGATTTGATTATTCATTGACATTGTAAGATGGAGAAATTGGATGCTAATCAATACTACGAGCCAAGGTGGGACCTGGGAGGAAAAGGCCAGGGGTAGCTTGTCATCTTGTTTTGTGTTGTAAATTGCAGATTTTGGTGTCAGTTAAAGTGTTTTAGGTGGAATGTCAGGACGTACCGTTTTATAAAAAAAACAGTTCCCTGAGAGTATATGTGCTTAGTGGCAATGAATAGTAAACCAAGTAATAATTTACGTGTGATTTTTGAAATGTTGTTTTAATATTGCTGGGCTTGAGAAAAACTTAAATTGCAGACTGTCCTTTGGGCAAGCAGCTCAGGCATTATTGCTTGCCCGGGGCCAATTCTTGCTTATCTTAGTTAATAATCAAAGGCTTGGTCTCCTTAATCGCATTAAGCATTTATTACCTTTTAGTGCACGCCTTCTTTTTTATAATAGTCTTGTTATGCCTTTATTTGATTATGCAGACCTTGTTTGGGGAGACAAGCATAATGTAACCTTAATGACCAGTTTGCAAGTCTTGCAGAATAAGG